CAGCAACTCTACTCCTAGGCATACATACACTCAAGAGAAATGAAAACATGTACCCACACAAAAGCTTGTACATGAGTAGAGTGTAGTAACTGCCAAAAAGCAGAATTCAAATGTCCATCAACAGAAAATTCATAGATAAATGGCAGAACTGTGTGACTAAGTACTGATACACACTGCACCATTGTTGAACCTCAAAACATTATGCTGGGCCGGGGCTTTAGCTCAGTGGCACTGCACCTGCCTTGCAAGCACAAGGTCCTGAGTTTGATCCCTGGTACCGAAAAAAAAACAAAAAAAAAATTATGCTAAGTGAAAGAAGCCAGACATTTACATGTGATGATTGGATCACACTGTGAATGTGCTAAATGTCACTGAAATGTATACTCCTTAAAATGGTTAATTTAGGGTTATATAAATTTCATCTCAATCAACAAACAAATCTGTATGTAGGAATACATCTTACATCTCCTAAAGACCTTTCCTGACTGGCATATAATTGTTGTGCCTCAATACACTATAGGTTTGCCACAGGTAATGCAGTCCTCTTTTAGTTATCAATCAATGACAGACATCATGAGCAGAATACAAAAAACTAACACACTGAGAAGGTGAAATTACACATACCTGACTCTGAAATTTTTTAAATGCTTGTACAAATAGACCTCCCCATTTTCTTAACTTTATGGCTTTGACTGACATACCCACACCATGTTTTATCCAAATGGACAACACAGGGATTCTGTCCAACCAACTCAGGCTAAGGCTTTTGAGCTTGGGCAGTCACTTGGGTAACAGTCACTTCTGTTAACAAAAGCAATTCTTTGTTTTGTTCTAAAAAAATGACATTCAAAGGCTTTTCTGGTATCTTTGACCTTTATCTTTCTGAATCAACCTTCAAGCTGGGCATAGTGGTACATGCTTGTAGTCCCAGCTACTTGGGATGCTGAGACAGAGGGATCAATGAGACCATGGTTCAAGGCCAACCTGGGCAACAAAAACAGACCCTTTGTCTCAAAAACAAGAAGGAAAAGAACCAGAACAACAAAAACAAAAAAACCCCCAAAACATCCCAGGTGTGGTAGTGCATGCCTTCTAGGGAGGCTGAGGCAGGAGGATTACAAGTTCAACACCAGCCTGGGCTACACAGTGAGACCCTGACACACATGGACACACATGGACACACATGAACACACACGGACACACACACACACACACACACACAGAGTTCAGTGATATAACTCAATGATAGAGCACTCCTGAGTTGATCCTTACTACTACAACAAACAAAAACAAAACAAAACAAAACAAAATCCAAAACCCAAACCTTTTATCAACCTTCTTCTAGAGCACCCACATTGCATACCTTATCTCTGGGCTGCTATTTTCACTTAATTCCATATGCATGCTTTTCTATTTCTAGTTTTTTTTCATGTTTATGACAAACCATTATAAACAGACTTTCAGTAACTTTCTTTCTTGCCTTGCCCTGAGCTTAAGGGAAAGGAGGTAGGCCAGTGTAAGTCACGACACCCAGAAGCAAAAGAAGATGGTAAAAATAAAAGATTATCATCTCAAAATGGGCCGTGAGTCTACTTAAAAGAAAAAGTAGAACAGGGCCGGGGGTTTGGCTCAGTGGTGCCACAGCCTACCTCGCAAGTGCAGGGTCCTGAGTTCGATCCCCAGTACCAAAAAAAAAAGAAAAAGTAGAACAAAAGAGAAAACTGTTTTTATTAAATAGTCACCTTTCTTTTTTTAATAGTCACCTTTCTTTACTAACATACTCTTTATAACCAACAATTAAGTCAGATTTGTTAGACCACTTAATGCAACCTAAAAATAACCTTTTCTTAACAGGAAAAGGTTACATCAAGTGATAAATTTCAGTCACAGAATATTTATTGAGAAATATGTTCCCGGCACTGTGAGAACCAACAATGACCATACAGTCTAGCAGACTCTGGAAGTCTTGCTGAAGGCATATGAGCCCATACATTTGATAATTCCTTTACATTTTTAATAAACATCTCATCAGAGGAAGTACATCTTGCTCATCTTTGTATATCTACTGACTGGTACAGATGATGCTGACTGAATGTTTAGCCTCTTAGAGACCCTTACTCCCCACTGGTGGTCTCCAAGACCTCCTTCCCACACCCTTTGTGTTTGTCTTTCTTCACATGCCTGTCTGGACCAGTCTGGCTGCTTCCCTTTTATAAATATACTTTCCTCCTTCAATTGCTGTTTCCCTTCACAAAAAGGCCTTATTATCTGAGAGAAGTTTGGATTTACCTTAAACCAACTGTCAACTGTCTCTTAATCTACATTATACACAATCAGCTGGTTGGTTTTATGTTTATACCAATACGACTTCCTTGAAACGCAATCTTCCTCAGTGAGCCTTAACTCCACCTCTTACATTCTAGGCTCTGCACCAACACACTCTGTATCTCCAGATTCAGGTGCCAAGAGAATCTAACATAAAATTCTCAAGTAAAAGAAAAGAGATGTTTGTTACATAAAAGAATATAAAAATTCAAAAAAGAAAATATAAATAAATCTAAGTGTTAACAAATTAAAATGGGGGGGCAAACTCCCAAGAAAAACCACATTTCAGAGTCCTAAGAATTCCTTATTTTTATACACTGAAGGCAATCAAAGGATTAAAAATGAGAGATTTAATTAGCATTCTGGTTTGGTAGTTAAAGGGCTGTCTGTGCAACCAAAATGAAGGTTGAAAACAACTGATATGCCTCATGCACTATCCCCTTCAGCAAGAGACTTCTGCAGGATTTGGAGGTACCAATAACACCTTTCAAGTTGCACGTCAGGTTTTACCATCACCACAAAGACAAAGTAACAAGACCGTCCTACAAAAAGAAGTGAGAGAAAGCAAAATTCTGAAGAATAGACTGTTTATATTTTCAAAAGCATGGATAAAGAACTAAGGCCATCTCTTAACATCTCAAGTTTTATTTAATCATTTATTTTCTAAAATGCAGCTAATTTTGCTCTATTTTATAATAAATGTTTCTGTCCCAGTGGCTGGAAGACATGGAATTTTTAGTTCAGACTCTGTGCTTCGCAGTGCCAAGGCTTTCCTGTTCTGCTTCTTAACCACAGAGATTTGAATCCCACTCCGATGAACGAACTAGCAGGGGAAAATGTGAACAGAAAAGACAGAACACAGCCAAATCTCAGATCCATTTCTATACCTGTGACCTCACAAGGTACCCAGCAAACCACTGGTTCTACAGAAACCAGAATGACTCTTGATGAAATAGATAGGAAAGTGCAAGTAGGAAAGGGGAGATGACAAAACAAAGAGTTAATCAGTTCTACCTACAGTCTCCTCTCAAAGCCTCTGTCCTCTGTAGTTGCTTGCCATGTTCCACCCAACAACAGCTGCTCACGATAATCAATGTCTGACAGATCAGAGAAAGCCCTTAATGTGTCACCAAGGGGCAGTTCAACAGATGGCATGGTGACTTACGACCAGAATCATTAATTACACTCCCTTATTAGTCCCAGGATACAGTGCTGAAAATGCTTCCTCAGTGAAAGATGAGCATTTCAGATAAATGACCGTCTGGTACTGGCTGTGAAACTCCCTTTAGGATTTCTGGTCAGTGCCGACTTCAATATTCAAGCCATAGTATTTTTATGGCTGTTTCCCATCTTCCATATTCACACTGGCTAGGAATATGAAGTCCTTGCTACCACTCTCCCATAATCAGAGCAGGTAAGGATACGGTAAAAAGGACTCAAGTCTGCCGACTGTGTGGGATGACAAATACTACAATCTCAGTCTGAGCTAACTCAGTGTTCCCTCCTTTAGGGCGACAGAACAAGTTCCTGAGTTTAGGGGAAGGGTGGCTTTCTTGTTCCTTTACCTACTGACTTTACCTACTCCTTTACTTACTGGACTTTCAGAAGTGTTTTCTGTAATAGAACGAGGTTGGTTCTCCAACTCAGGTCTGTTTTCCCTTCATAGAACTACTGGCTAAAATTCTTCCATGTATCTTTTAAAAAGACAAAAGTAGACAATTCTAAAAAAGGAAGCCTACCAGCTTGCGACAAACAAAAATCCTCAAATGTCCACCCTGCTGTCTCTGTTATCCTAAGGGACCAGTGATGGTGAAACCTATGACACGTGTGCCATAACAGGCTGTTTGTATCACTGAACTAGGCACTGAAGTTAAACCAGGTACTCAATGAAGAAGCCAAACAAGTACATGGTGAGGAATGTTTCTGACCTCCCTCCCAAGGGCCCTCAGAGTCATCTCAACTCGGCAGAAATGTGTCCCTTCTCAACACTTGAGAAGCAGGCTCCATAAACATTATTGTGACATTTTAGAAATGACATAAAGAAAGCTTGGAAGCAGATGACTTATTGGCTTTATTAGCATTGATACAAGTCAGAAATAAAGCTCAAAACAACTCAAAAGAAATTTTAAAGCATTTCCTATATATCACCAGATAAACATTCCTTGGCTTTGCTGTCCTTTCTGCACTTTGATGTGCAGTTTGGTTTGGTTTTTTTTTTTTGGTACCAGGGATCGAACTTGGGTCCTTGCGCTTATGCAGCAGGTGGCGAAACCACTGAGCTAAATTCCCAGACCCTGCAATTTGTTTTTAATGTGAGGTAAAACTAACTCAATATTAAAATCCTAAATGCTATGATTAAGAGTTCAGTGTTTTCTACAGTCCAATTTGTTCTTTTCTAGACATAAAAACATGACTAATTTTTAACCAGGGTCAAATAATTACAATTTCCAATGGATGTTCCAATCTCATGAATTTATAAAAGATAAAAACATGTTAGGGCCAGGGATTTAGCTCAGTGGTGCTGCTGCCTGCCTCAGAGGTGCAAGAACCTGAGTTCGATCCCCAGCACCAAAAAAACCAAAAAACATGTTAATTACAACACAATAAAAAACTGCTAATGTGGGCTATAGAAAGAGAAAATTTGGGAATCTGGGTCTGCTTTGCAATGTACTCACTTCTAGCTTTTTCTCTTTTTCTGACAAAACATCTTTCTGATTCTGGGTGTACTCCACCAACATCCGAGCCAGCTGGCGCCGGTCTTCCAGTTCTGCTGCCAGGCGCCCGTTATATTCTGCTAGTAACAGACATGCTTCATCTACTGTTTTTGAAAGACGTTCAGCTGCCTCTTTGTCTAAGTACAAATGAGACCAAAAAATAGAGACAACATACAAATCACACAGGTATGATTGCAACCATTTCTGGGGAAAGGTTAACAGTTTCTCTCTCCCATTATAGAGAGTCCAAAAATAAGCCAGAACCTGAAGACAAACAATGAATTGGCTGTCTAAGAAACCCAAAGGCTTTCACTCTAAATTACCTGAAGTAGGGCAATTCTATGTATAGGGAGGGAAATCTGGTAAATATTTTTAAATGTCTATTCCTGCAAAAGCTCTACAAACAAAATAGGAAGATATTTAAAGTCATCCATGAAACGATTTTCCTTGCCTTTGTGAAGTTCAAATGCTTTTGTTTGTATTATTTTGTTAAGTACACCTTTTACATGCCTCTGAAATAAAAAAGCAACCTTTCCTTTCTTGGATGTGTAAATTGAAAGAAAAAATAAATAAAAAGCTACATGACAGGTTCAATATGTGGTCAGCTGAGTTGGGACTCAAAGCCAGGACTTTAAAATGGACCTATAGGACTCTACCTCTTCAACTATGTAAGCCTTGAACCCAGATATAAGCTCTCTTCCTACATTCAGCAAAATAAAGGGTCTGATAAGGAACAGAGGCTTTCAAATGTTTTTGATCATGAGCCACCATAGAAATACACTATTTATAAACATATAAAAATGAGAGCATGGGCCGGGGGTTTAGCTCAGTGGTTCTGGTGCCTGCACAAGGTCCCGAGTTCGATCCCCAGTACCAAAAATAAATAAATAAATAAATAAATAAAATAAGAGCAACATTTCATAAAATAAGACTTATATTTACTATGTAGAACTTCAAAAAAGTGTTGGACAGAAGTGGTGAACAAAGGCTCAGCACAAGGAACAAAAGGAGGATCTGTATGTATAAAGAAGTGCTGAAATTATGTATGGGTGGTAGTGAGATTAAAACTACAAATGTATATATGTATGGGTAGGCTGATTTTAACTTTGTCATTGCCTGATTAATCTTTCTTGTCTTAAGTAGTTAATTTATTAGGATGCTGGACTAGCTGGGGCAACAAAAAGCAAAGAAAACAATTTTTAAAATTTTTTAAAAGTCAGTTTTCACCCTCAAGAAGTACAAAGAAGGCAATCATTTACACAAATAACTGAAACCCGGAAAAATGACTTTTTAATAGTTCACTGAATTACAAAGAAAATGCAGTGCAAATGTAGAAGCAAGATCTCGCTTCAGGGGACTTACCTGCGGCTATGCTCCAACGCTCAGCTCAGCCCGCTCTGCTCGGCCCTCCCTGATGCGGAGGAGCAGCAGTGAGCAGGCAGCCATCCGCTTGTGCACGGGCACCCACTCCCTCAAGCTGACAGAGGCTTAGCTTCTAGCATATCCCTGGGTTTCTCCTGCTACATCACTTCCTCTCTCCCTCATGAAGTAGAGAAGCAAATCTACAGCTATTCCAACTAGCTAGCACCTAGCACTCTCTATTGCCCCATTTACCTGTTCTCCTTTTACAACAACTCTGTCCACACTCCCTACAGCCACCTCCTCTCTCCGATGTTACTAAACTGACTCAAATAAGGCTTTCAGAACCACCAATCCTCTACTCGCAACCTTCCACTCTGCCTAACAAATATCTGAGCTCCTAGTGAGTACCTCAGTTCCCAGAGGAAATAAAAAGGACAAAAACGCTCTGCTCTCAAGTTTACATTTTCAGACAGGAAGAGAGACCAAATATGCAGTATAGTACACAGGAGAAAGAATGGGGCCTTGGGACAGGGGGGCACAATTTTCAACAGTGGTCAGAGTAGGGTTCAGTGGGGTGATACATAAACAAGGGCCTGAGGGAATGGCAGCATGTCCAAAGGCCCTGAGAGGGAGGGTGCCTGTTGCCTGGCAAGAAGCCCAGAGGACCTGACAGTGAGCAAAAGGAAAGCAGTGAAAGTCCATGAGGCAATAGGGGCAGTGAAAGACTCTGGCTTTTAGTCTAGGTGAATGGGGGGCAGGTCCTACTGAGGTATTCTGAGCAAGATGAGATGTGATCCAACTTTGGTTTAAGAAGGTCACTCTGATTATTATAATGTTGAGACTAGGACGATGGCTGGGAATGAGGGACAAAGAAGTGGTGGCAGACTGGGAAGGAAACTATTGCAGTTATTCCAGTGAGTATGGCAATGACTTGTACCAGGTAGCAGTAGAGGTGGTGAACAGATATCAGGAACTAGTTTGGGTCCTAATCAAGAGGAATGAGGTGAATTTACTGAGATGGTAAAGACCCTGAGAAAAATTATTTTCAGAGGGAAGCTCAGAAGTTCAGTTTGGGGCAAGCTAAATTTGCAATGCCTATCAAAACATTCAACCAGTAAGGAGGGAGGATATATGGGTCTCAAGAATTAAGGCAAGGTCAACAATGAGGATGTCAATTAGTGCATTATCAGCATAAAAACTGTTTCAAGTCAACAAACTGGATAAGAACTGTCTAGAAACTAGCTACAGAAGAGGGCTAAGAAATCAACATTAAGAGGTCAAAGGGAAATGAAGAAAGCAAGCACCAAGAAACAGAAAAGACACTGCCAGAGAGACAGGAGGAAAGTAAGAAGAATACAGGGTCCTAGCTTGCTATTGCTGCTTAAACAATCTACAAATTTAGTGGCTTAAAACACCCTAAGTGTTTACTATCTCAGCCCCTTCCTCTATCTCTAAAGCACATACATCCTGCAATCCCTGCTTCCGAGGTCCTACCCCCTTCTTTCTTGAAAGGACCCTCTGATTACTCTGAGTCCACCTGTCTAATCCAGAACTTTCTTCCCACCTCCAGTTCCCAAGCCCAAACACATCCGCAGTTATTTTTGCCATATGAGATAACATATTCAAGGTCCTGGTGATGCGGACCTTGGTTTTTTAGAGGGAAGGATTATTCTATCTACAAAACTAAGTAAAGAAAGTATTTTCAGGAAGAAGAAATAATTAACCAGGTCAAATGCTACTGGGGGTCAAGAAAAAATAAGGGCAGAGAATCCACCATTGAATATGGCAATAAAAGTCAGAAGCAACTTTGACAAGAGCAGGTTCAATAAGGTTCAATCAAGACAACAGGAGGGCAGGAATTGGAGGCAGCAAAGGTAATCCATTCAGGGTGCTGTGTTAAAAAGAACAGAAAAGGGGGTATAAGGCACATGCCTGCATTCCAGCTCTCAGGGGGCTAAGGCAGAATGATCAAGATTTCAAGGCCAGCCTGGGCTACAAAGTAAGACCTTATCTCAAAAGAAAAGAGAGAAGGAGAGACAGGAAAGAGGGAGAGTAGGGAGAAGAAGAGGGAGATGAAGAGGGAAGGAGAAGGAGAGAGAAACAGAGAGAGAGAGACAGAAAATATAAACCAGGGAAATAAAGCAGTGGCTGGAGAAAGACATAGGATAAAAAACATTTTCTTCCTATGCAGGGGGGAGATACAAAATGTTATGGGGCTGGGGATCTAGCTATCTAGCTCAGTCGTTAGAGCATGTACTTAGCATATGCAAGGACCTGGGTTAAATCCCTAGCACACATGTGCATAAAAATGTTTTTTATGCTATTTAGAATGATCCAGTAGAGAGACGAGATGGGAAGACGCAAAAGTGAAGGTGTCTCTCTCTTTCCTGTTTCCCTCTCTCTTTTCTTTTGAGACAAGGTCTCACTTTGTGGCACAGGCTGCCCTTGAGTAGGTAAGGAGAAGGAGATTTAACTTACAGGGAGAGGGATGGTTTAGAATACAGCATGGTCATCCAGAGAAACAAGAGGCTAAGGCTCATAATTTACTTTCCCCAGCTACATTCAGCTGCACAGGTACAGAAAGAAGAAAAGCTGGATTTCAGATTGGTGGTTGCCAAGGGGTAAGGAATGTAACAATGAGTTATTGTTTAGTGAATATAGTTTCGGCTTCATAAGACAGAATTTTGGAAACTGGCTGCACAACAATGTAAAAGTACTTATTACCACCGAACTATATGCTCTTATGTTATGTATATTCTACCACAATTTAAAAGTGAAAATAGGCTAGGGAGTAGTCAATGGTACAGTGCTTGCCCAGCATGTGTGAGGCCCCGGGTCAATGCCCAGCACCACAGTAAGTAAATAAAAAGCCAGGTATGCTGGCAGTGGTGTACTACCAACAACCTGGAAGACTGAGGCAGAAGATACCAAGTTTGAGCCCAGCCTGAGCAAATTACTGACCTTCAGAGACTCTGTTTCTAAAAAAAAAAAAAAATTTTTTTTAAAGCACAGGAGATATAGCTCAGTATGAAGCCCCTAGTTTCAATCCCCAGTGCCACAAATAAATAGTCCTTATAATTTTTTAAAAATTCAATTTAACCGATTTCAGGGTTTTGCCAGGTGATTACAGTAGGGAGGAAAAAGAAAAGATGTTTATGGTGTATATGAGAGGATAAAGACTCTAGAGTATAAATATTGAAGACTCAAAGGTTAGGTGGAGGTAAAGGGGGACACAGAGTGAGAGTGATAAAATGCTTCTCATGTGATTTCAAAGGCTTCTCTGTTCCACTGTGATGTCCCACTAAGCACATGTAGCCTTCAGATCTTTCTCTGTACTGGTTGTTGTAATTCCTTCCCTCAGATATCACCATGATCTGCTTCCTAATTTCTGTGGTTCTCTGGTCAAAGATCATTTCAAACTCCTGCCTTATTTTTCTTTCTTGGCACTTAACTTGAGGGAATATGGGTGGGACACTGAGGGTACAGTGAGCCTCAGATATTTGTTGAATGACGGAAATACTTCTTGAGTAGCCTTGACTTCCTTTATGTAAATACAGAGGAATTCAGAGAAGCAGCCAAATGAAGAAACTGGAAGGAGGAAAATTGTCCTCTGCAAGATAGTGAAATGAAAAGTCTGTACTTTTATAATGGAAAGAACATAGACCTTGCAACCGAGGCTAGAATCTCAAGATCCACTACTTGTTTGACTTTGGGCAAGAAACTTAACTTCTCAAAGGTCTCAATCTCTTCTTATGTAACATGGGGATAGACATTCAGCAATCTTCAAAGATCATCAAGAGTACAGTAACTAGCAGAGAGTATACTGTTAGATTAGTTCATGCTTCATTCCTTCAACTTCCTATGTAGAAAGAAGGAATAGTTGTCAGCTCCTGTGTTTAACCGGGAGTGGTCAACATTAGGGCAACATGACATGACCAAAGTGTACCAGTGTACAGTGTATAAATCACAGAGCCCTGTATCATAAATTCTTTTCTTTTAGAAAGTCATGAGTTTAATGCCTATCTCTTCCTACCCATACTGTTCCACATATATACAATTTGTACTGTTATCAACAAAGCTTATTTAAGGTGCCACAGGTTGTGGCATGTTGGCATTTCTGCAATAATTCTTAGAATCATTACTAAAGCTTTGGGTATTCCAAGTGTTTCTTTGTTCTGCACATGATTCATTTGCAAATCGCAAGGTGGCAAAGCATCACCCAGAATGTCTATGCCTGCAGGCATCAACATGTCCTAGGGTTTGATGCCCTATAGAGGAACTACACATCAGTCCCGTGTTCACCAGACTCTACCTTCTCACCTGTTATTTTTTCCAAGAGAGAAACATCTTGCACTTCTTGGGGAAGAGAAGCAATTTTCTGTCGAACAGTTGCATCCCCTGACGCAGCATTTTCAAGATCCTGCAAAGCTTTGATTAGTTCTTCAGTCTATAAAATAAAAACACAATGATATCCATTAAGACACAGAGTTCAGGGCTGGGGATTTAGCTCAGTGGTTCTACCACCTGCCTCGCAAGTGCAAGGACCTGAGTTCGATCCCCGGTACCAAAAAAAAAAAAAGAATAAGACACAGAGTTCAAAGAAATTTAGCTGGAGTTAAATGAAGTGAAAGTAAATTTTAAAATGGTCATTCCTGACTTTTAATAAAAATTGTTCTTGGGCCAGGGATGTAGCTCTGTGGTTCCACCGCCTGCCCCACAAGTGCAAGGACCCGAGGTTGATCCCCAGTATGGGAAAAAAAAAAAAACTGTTCTTAGCTCCAGAGCTTATATGGAACTCAATGATACAGATTCTGAGGGAATGTAAAAATTTTTCTAAATCTGTAACAGAATGTGAATAAAATTTCATGTAAAAGTGCATGCGCAGAAACCACATACACAAACAGTGTGTGTTGTCTTATTAAATTCTTGGGTTTGCTCTATGAAATGATTATCACCCCTACCATATTAAATGTGTAAAATTCATTAACTACAAAAGGGGGAAAACAAGAAAACCAAATTAAGAATGCATATTCTGCATATACCA